CTTTGAACTTTCACGCAAAGCCTATTCTGATTTAAGTTACAATGCACAAGAGCGAATGGCTTTAGATCATGCTGTCAGCATTATACAAACATATGAAAGTGTTTTGGGTTACAAGTAGCAAATCTCACATTCCCAAGGCATTATTGACCAAGACTTTTAATGAATAAATGTGAAAACAACTGATATAGAAAATCAGAGACTTAATATTTTAGATGGTAATATCCAACAATGGACAGGTACACATTCAGATAATTGTTCTGCTTTTTAAGTTATTGTATCCGAAAAAGTACAAACATCAATGTGGGTTATTTTAGAGGTACCAAACAAAGACTTTATGTTGCCAGTTTTATCATTTTTAATCTAATTACAAAGACAATTCTCTTCAAATAGTAATTGGTGTTGTCATGTTACTTGTCATGCACTCAAGTGAATGGAACAAACTATAGTAATCAAACAAAATAGTGACGTTGGAAATTGCACTTCAATAGGTGACCTATATATATTTTTAGAATTGGAAAAGTAAGCATGGTAGCCTGTGAACCTAATACATGCATATCTCAGATGGGCAGAACAAAAGAAAGAATACCTACTTTGATAAAAGTGTATTAAGAATGACCATAGATAACAACACCTTTCACGGATGATAAAATTAGTTTTGGAGGAATGGAAAGTGGGACACGGTAATGCTGGCCTGATCACCCAGGGATTACGATGAGATGACAATTGTGACTTCATTAGGATGATGTCACGTGTGTTAATGGCCATGAGAGTCTGGTCTTAACGTGTGTGATTCTATAATGTGAAGCTGCTGTATTCTATGGGAAACTTAATGACTGGTAGACATTGGGTTAGAAAAACAGTACCCAGAATAAGGAGCCTATCAGAAATTTGTTCAATGCTTTAAAACAGACTAGGAGATATGTAGTATTCAATCTAAAGTAATTGTGTATGAATGTATGCTGTATGTTATAAATATACATATTAATTGCTTCCAAACAAACCGCTACCACGCGAGTATCATCCATCTAGGTTACTATTTGAAACATCTTTGAAGCTTAAAGAAATAGTCAAAACTTGGTAAGACACATACATGTATCAGCTTGAAGCAGCATCACACTCTAAAGAATTGGAAGATATATTGAAACAAATTGCTGGTGTTAAAATTCGCATCTGAATAAAATCTTGACATTTCCGCATCTGAAGAATCAACACCTAGGAATTGAATAAAATAATTAAGCATGACATAAAAACTACAATAAGACTGAGGACATTTACATTATCTGATTAAATAAACTTTTCATATAATATATATACATAAAGTAATAATAATTACAGAACAGCAGAAGTTTTAACTAACTGTGAAATAAATCATAAATATTTTGTGGTCTAGTACCTATTTCGGACAGTATAAAAAGTTCAGGGAATATCAGTCTTAAAGACTTAGGGAGGGGGTGTGTAAGGATCTGACATTCTAGCATTATTCTGAAATGTACTTACAACAGAACTTTTAATGAAATCCAAGTGACATTGTGAAATCCTATAGCTCCATAATTTGTTGACTTCTACAATAACAAGATTCACTTACCTGATTGATCTGAAGGAACACTGTATTAACACTTATTGACTTTGCAATTTAAGCTGATAGAAATGTTAAACTTACCTTATTGTCTAGCAGAAAACTGATTTTCTCTTTACATTTTCTGTGTAGCAGACGTCCAATGACAGACATCTTTGAAATCTGTCACTTCATATTTTATATTAAAGATTTCTTATTGTTAATATCAATTTCAGTCAAATTCAATTCAAGAACGTAATTTATGTAAAGTTTATGATTGATTAAGGTCAGAAATCCTTAAGTATTCACTACATGTTTTTGTATATTAATGATTTTCGTATGTAGATTTTATATGACATTTCAATATGGCCGCCATTGAAATCCAAGATTTCAGATTCAGAAATTCGACCGTCTGTCCATTGGAGGATTTCCGGATTTCTGGTGTTTCATTGGTGGATTTCAAACATCGAACCTTATTAAAGTCGGAATCCAACCAATGTTGTCACTTCGGTCTTGACCTCCAAGTAATGTAACCGCCAAAGTTCAAATACAGTAAACATCTTAAAAACGACATTGTTATCCAAACTTGTCAGTTGGTATGTATTTATATCCAGTATTATTAACTCACTAGACACTGTTGTTGCCGAAACACTTGTTATAAACTACGAAACTGTATAAGAATTGTATTTATTTTCCCCATCCTGACATACGTTTACAGTATACTTATAGTTGTTTTATGTTTATGCTAGCCGGGTACCCGTTTGGCATGTAGCGTATGATAATAGATGTTGCTATTGAATTTGTATAATGCTGCCTAACTGTCATTTTTTTTCTCGTAAAAGTAATGTTTATTGAGTTAACATAATTGGCTGAAATGCACTGATCTTTCTTTTGCTGTCTCGAAATTAAGAAAGATATACCGCGTTTCTACATTCTGCTACATTGCTGCTACATTTGAAAGATACATAAGTTGTGTTTAAGCTGGATATTGATAAAAAGCTGGATACGTTAGTTTTGTAGTAAGGTAATAAAGCTTTTGTAGTTAATTAATCGTAAAAGATAGCAATGATATGAAAATAAAAGAAAAGAAGTGAACAAGCCTTATCTAAAAATTAAACATGCAAAGCTTTAATTAATATTCTTCCTTTATTCTTTTCAAGAGCTGGATATCTTACGATTCAAAAAAATATTCGCCAAAATCAATGCATTCATGCTTTAGTAGATTTGTTAAAATATATCATTTTGTTTAGTAAGAATGTATGTGTTTAGCACCAGAAACAAGTTGCAACGACAAATTAACATAAACATTTATATGAGTCGATGCTTGAAAATACAATAATTTCAAAACACATAAATTTCGGAAATCTTAAATTTTTCCAGTTTTGGAGCTCTCAAAAGCCCTGTAAACAACTAGTCAAAATAAAGTATAATCAATTATTGAATGTTCATTTTGTTTTCTTACAACGATTTACTTGAAGAAGATAAATGACCTATAAGTACGTAATCAACATTATGTTGTAGAAAAATAATCTTTTATAGGGTATTTTTTATTTGCTGATAAGCGTTTTATGATATTGTGTAATGATATTTTCTGGATTTTGAGAAACGGTTCACTTTGATTCCTATCGTTTTTGCTATCAATATTTGAATTATGCACTCCAAATCTACTACGAAGTCATTGTTAACTGTATCTAGCCCCCAAACACTCTATTTTAGAATGATCACATGCATTGTTTGCATAAAGACAAAGGAAGAAGAAAGTGCATTTTTACATTATATGTGGAATGAGACTTTAATGAAGCTTGAATACAACAGCTTAAAAAAGCTGAGGGAAATAGGAGATGAAATTCCCAGTACGTTATTTTAATACACGATAGTTCGTTTTAGCTATCGGATCAGGTTATTTTCCGCGTCTGTTAGACATCAATTGATAATACAGCAAGTGTGACAACTGAAATACAGATAACAACCTACTTTGAATTTGATATTACATTAACCTTTTAACATTAAAAAGAAATTGTTGTTTCTTAAGTTGATACTTCAGTCAAAAATTAATTATTGAAATCTAAAGAAATGTTACTTTTTGTTGCTTAAATTTATCAAGATCAAGCGAACAGTTTATGTTGTACGTATAATACTATACTGAAATAGATCCATATCTTAATATATATATGTTATTTTTAAGTTAACTTTGTAGCTTTTTGTACAGTGGGTAATATTTCAGAATGCAGATTATAATTTTATGGGGTTTCAAAGTTATCTTTATGTCTAATCACATGTTTTGCCGGAAAATTGAAAACTTCTAAAACTTTAATATTTTATGAGTGCCGATGAATTTTTTTCTGTAAAATGTGAGTGGCAGACTAGATCATTTCCGGGCAACTTTTTAATTTTACAATTACTTATCACAACCTGTTTTAGAACACAATATACATATACATAAATACATGCTAGCTATATCTTATATAGCATTCTTTCTTTTTAAACGTACTGTAAAATCGAACATTTGTTGATTCATAAACAGACCATACCACGTTAAAATATCCGAAATTATTAAAAAGATTTGACTTGAAAAGAATATTTGATGAGATTTAAATGAAGTGTTTATGGAATATGAAAACTTAATCAAAATACGATTCTTGCTGAATGCATATGTTAAAGTGTTTTTTCTGCAAATGTTAATAGATTTCAATTTTCAATTGAGAACAAAATAATTTGGTTTGTATACCGTGGTGAACTGGATCCATGCTATTCAAAATGTTTTGAAAAAATGAAAAAATATACATTGTTTACTTTGGCATATGCAAACAGATTGAGTTTTGTCTCAGAAATGTTTATTATAACTTGAGTGAAAACTTGAATGTGAGACATAACCATCGCGCTAAAATTTGAGTATAATGTAAAATGTTTTATCAAATGATTTCTTTTTGTATTGTCTATAAAAGATGTTTTTTTTTCAAAACTCTATATGTTTAAGGTGAAATATCGTCATTTTTAAATATCATTGTTTCCATTATGCCCTTGCAATCATTCATTACAATTACTGTTAACAATGCTTATTTAGAACCAATGAGAATTTCGTTTTAGCATTAGCCTTTTTTTGTACATTTCTACATTTCAAGTAGATAAAAGAATGAATATATCATTATTTGACATTGATCTCATCAATTTTGGATATTTGTTTTAAAACAAACATTTGAAACCTAACTAACTATTCATGTTAAGTCATACTAAAATGCAAGTACGCCTGAACTGTTATTAGAATGTCTGCTAACAGTTACAGTCTGTAAGATTCGTCAGATTAACACAGAGTTGCTGATGCTACTCTAAGTTTACCTGTCTTTCTTGTCTTCAACGTTTTATTCAAAACACGGTGTAAATCATATTGAATATTGTTACCACATGGCCAACTACACGTTTTTTTTTCATTTTCTGTGTGAATTGCACAGAGAATAAAGGAAAAATTGAAATGTAATTACTCTAAACATTAAGGGATTTTATTCTGAACGTGTGTGTCTGTTTAGTTATATATTATGTAAATGAAATGATTTTAATTCTTTCACTGGATAGAGTTCACGTGTAACGGGCAAAAATGCTGAGGTATTTTTGTTTAACTTTTTGTATTAAATTTTACTTTCTTTTAAATGTTTGCCATGAAAAAAAGAATTAATATTTTGATTGTAAACTCACGCTAGTTCAGGTAATAAGATGTAATAAAGGTTGTGACAAATGTGTTTGAATTCATAGTCAGGAGATCTTTCTTGACAATATGTGTCTTTTCACATTTTGTTTTTGAGCATTTACAATAATGGACAATATTACTCTTGCAGTTTTTTTTTCCATACATACCATAGATATATCACGAATTAAACCTCGTATAGTAAAAGTTGCAAAGAATGTTTCAGACACGTCCTTCATTTTTTGTCTATGATGTTAATCACTGATAAGATAAACATAATATCATTATATAGAATGTGTATAAAAGCTGATGGAATACGTTTATAATAGATCAATCGCAAGGTGGTCTAAATTGGTATTAAAGGGTATAAAGTTATATAGCTAGAAAAATTACTCAACAGTATAATGATAGTGTTTCCATAATTTTATGTTCTATTTTCGGAAAAGTTGTAACACAGGATGTTTCTGTTATTGAATACACATGTCATTGTATATAAACAGAATAAAATGTTCCGGGACGAAGATTTATATATATATATATATATATATATATATATATATATATATATATATATATATATATATATATATATATATATATATATATATATATATATATATGCTGTTTCTTTTTAAGTAGGGTTTTAACCGTGTAGCAATGCTTTTGTGCATTCACTTTCATATTCGCAATGTACTACCATATTTCATTCATACAAACATTTTGGAAGTATTCTTTTTAAAAAAATTAAACTATAATTTGCAGCTGATATATAAACTTTATGCACTTTGAACAGCTTTTTGAAAAGTTAGCTTATTCTGTGAATGCACGTTTTCTAAAGAATATGTGACACTAAATAAAGAGTACATATAACATACATAAAAATACTTGTCTTGATATTAACAAAGCTTTGTTCTCAAACTTGCAACTTTCATTTTGTTACCTAATTTTTCGAATACATACAACAATATATGTATATAAAACATGGATAGGGTTACAGAAAACAAGGAGAGTTCAAAAGTGTCGCAAAGTGGGAAAAGCTTTAACCTGTTATAATTCTATGAAAAAATCTGGTTATTCTATATATTAATAATTATAGAAAACTTTACATATTTTATAGGAGATGTAGTAGTAAAAGTTGTGAGTTCACTTTTCTCCAAATGGAGAATGGAATAATACCGTTACGACACGGAAGTTTACCTGGTGCTTTGCGATTGCCTAAAAGATATGAAAAATTCTCAAAAGACGAAATGTCACCTGGTTTGTCGTCTGCTTCAAAACGGAAGTCATCGATCATCATTGAGCACGAGGAGACAGAAGATGAACGAATGAGGGATATGATGCAAGCCATTATGTGGGTGAAACAAGAGCTCGTGAGTATCGTTTTATATAAAAAAAACAATATTACAATGCTTAGACATAAGAAACAGGACTGGATCTGACCCCCAGGTCATAGTCACTTTCATAACATTAAGCCTTGTAGTTCCAAAGGAGAAATTTTAAAGGTATCCCTTTACTTATGAACAAACAAAAAACTAGGTGACTCCGGGGCGAGGTCAATGTGACTTTTTGTGCGATGATTTGAATAGACTTGTTAGAGTTGCACGAGATAACGCTTAACGAAAAATATCAAAGGTCTAGAAGAAGTAATATATGCCAAAAAGATTTTTTGAAAAATTTCTTTTTAACAATTTTAAAAATCTTACACCAAATGAACAGTACTTTCATTTTTTGTTGAAACCGAACATTTTTGTTTGTTTGTTCTGTTTTTTTTTGAGGGGGAGGGATTTTGAAGTTTATTTTTAATTTAATATAATATACATAAGCATGCACGCAAACATATACAGACACGCTAATCACTTTTTGCCACAACAATACAAACAAAAGCTGCGGTGACAGAAAAACCAACAACAATCAAATATAATACGAATGTTTACAAATGCTGTCTAAATTACTTTTTTAAAGGAGAAAAAATAAAATAGAGGCACTCAATGAATTGACTTTTTAAAAATTTCTAATAAAAGTATGTATGATTTAAACTGATTGAAGGAACATTAATATTTTTCTAGTAGCGATAACTTAAGAATAATTATAATTCCTTTACGGACATAATTGTTTTTATTTATTTACAGATACTGTTGAGACAACATGATATTTTACTTAAAAGACAATTCTGTGATATTCAAGACACAATCCATTCATTGACCAAATCCAGGAAATACAGAAAAAGTCCCGCGACAGACTCCACTACAAGTCTACAATCAACTGAAGGCAGTGAATTTGGGCTAGACAATTATTCAGTGCGATCAGCATCAAGTGTCACAGCATTGGACGGTACCGACACAGAGGAAGAAGATGACGCTTTTCGTCCACGGACATGTTCTATGAAAACAACGCGAGATCTTGCAGCTCTTGCGAGAAGAAGGGGGAGCAAGGAATTGATATGAAAGTGCAAAAAAGTTGTTGGCGTTATCTAAATATCAAAGTGCTGCTTTTGTGTGTATAACATAAGGAAATGGTGTTCAATATAGATGTCTGCGTAATACAAACAGAACCTAGTCAGGGTAAAATAGAATTATCGCTACCCAAACTGTCAGATAGCATTCATGTTTTTAAGTTATAATTAACAATAACTGATACATTGCTGTAATTTTAACATAAACACGAAATATATCTTTATATACTCTGCCATAACAGTTACATTATACTTTACATAAATGTTTTTCTGCTTTAAAATTATAAGTGTTAACGGACCTTTTAATGACAAAGAGGTTAAAAAGGTATATGCTAATCATCCGACATAGTGTGTACAATGTAATGTAACATCTGGTCATTGTTAACTAGCCTATTACTTTACATAAATCTTTATTAAAATAAGCTTTAGACTTGCTTGGAGTCTACCACTTATATTGCTTCGAGTATCATGCCATTTATAAATCATCGAAGACAAATTGTATTGTATTACAAATTATTTTGATTATGGCGTTATGTTTGATTAGGTCAATACATATTTTCATTGAAATACGTACAGGCAAAATAAAGTCTTTCCGTTACAAAATATATCCATTATCCAAACGTACGATTTTCATATCCATTTTCAATACAGGTGATAAGCATTTAGATATTATTGTACAAGAAAGTTTGTAAATATGTGGTAAAATCTACTACATGTAGTTATAAGTGATACAACAAATTTCCCATGATGCAAAAGATGATAGTATGGCATTCAAATGTTTTATTACATCATGAACGTTATTTTGGGTGCAAGATCACGGATTTTGATCAGATTTCAGCGCAAGTTATCATGAAATGCAGGATGCATTTAAATATAAATATAATATTATATTATATAGCATATCCTAAGATCACACGTAATAGATTTCAAAAGAAATATTTTAATAAAAAGTAAACAATACAGGTAAATGAAATCGGGTTGAGTCTGTTCATGAAGGACAATGTAAATGCAACATATACATCGGCTTAACCCTTTAGTCCAACTTATTGTACTACGCGATGAGATATTGTGCTATTTTTTGTCTGGGCAATTTCCCCCATCTAGAAGGGAGATTGTGACCCACAACAAAAATAATCTCAGAATCTAGCTTCGGCACGTCAATATATTTTGATTAAACCCTAACAACGTTAAATATTTTTAATGAAGTTGTCCGTTTTTCAATCTGGTGAAAGTAATTCATCATCTTAAAATAATTTTCAAACATGTACTGATTTGAATAGGGAATAGGGTCAGACATCATGTATGTGCTGGAGATCTTGGCCACCAGTAGGGGAAAGATTAAGCAGTGTTAAAACGCTGATAATATTTAAAACAATTCCTAGAATATACATGTATAACAACATCGGGATGGATGAATTACGGACGACACTGTTTATTTTTTTATTGTAAAGTATCGTGTTGTATCAACAATATTGTTTGTACGTATAATATCATAATCTTTATCTGAACAAAACTTTCATGAAAAATAAACATGAGATGGTAATGAAATAGTATAAGTAGTCGGCCCTTATTTTCATTTAAATAAACAATTCTTTTTCGGAAAATATAAACTAATTCTTGTATTATAGTAGATGGGGCATTGACTACTATCAAATAATAGAAAGATACCCTTGTTTTATGGTATGGTTACCTAAATAATCAGAACAGGTAACACAAAAAAGAGAGAATAAAACTGTAAACCAACTAAAACAGGAAACATCTTTTGGACTGTTTTCCTATAATTATGTTTGAATTTGACAATATTCCAATTGATTAAATATTTGTCGGTAGAATTAGATTATACTTTAATTAATCTTTAGGCGGAATAAGATCTAAACCATAGACAAATAAAACCGTTTTTTTTAATCGATACACTAGACTTAGTTTAATTAGAATTCGGTATGTTGGTATTCTTTCGATAATTGCTCGGCTACATCTTGAAACCACCTGATTAATAATGAGTTTTAATGAAACAGGTGTTCATCTTGCTTTTTTGCTTAATTTACAATTACCTACAAACAAAAATGTGCATAATCATATATTCATACATTCGGCTGTCAGTCCCACGAGTTACAACATGAGACAGTGAAAAGAATTACTCCCACCCCACTATTTTATCCTGTAGGACCAGCTGATACAACAACACCATTGACAAACAGTGCAGGTCACCATTTTTCACACAGCAGTAAAAGATTGCAACTGTGGCTATGAGTTCAATTTTTTTTATTTATTTTAACATTAATCAACTGGGACATTTAAAGCGACAATGAAATGCAAATGATGATAAACCAATAAACTTCGAATTAATTGAAAATCGACATTTTAAGCAATTCGTATCACGATTTGTTTTAATAGTCATTTTCACAAAAGAAACTATTTTCCCGACATTGTATGATACTAACGGTAATGTATGGTTTTATTTTCTGTGATTGTGTAATTATTATAAGAAAATAGTACTTATGCATGCAGTTTGTTTTATATCCGAACAAAACAACAAAACGAACAACAACAAACAACAACAACAACAACAACAACACTGAAATACTAGGAAAAAAAACAAGAAAAAAACGAACAGAATAAGAGAAATAAAATATGTATAGTAAATAAAAAATAAAAGCCCAAACGTTTCGTTAAGCAAAGCAATGTTTTTTTTCTCCTGCAGCCAACATCTTGTATCATTTCATTCACTGTGTCTGCTAATCACAGGTTAATCACCCAATACTTTCTGTTTATACACAAATGATAAATATTATTACAGCATATCAACCGATATTTTTATCCATTTAAATTATCAAATTAACTAATCTAAACAAGGAATTACATCTATAATATATAATTTTGTTTATGGAGAGACAGGGTAATTTAATAAATATGTTTATTTTCACGGCTACTTTCTCTTTAATCCTATGTATTTCTATGAAAAAAATGTCCACGATAATATAAGACGAGCGTCTAAACTAACAGCTGTTCTCTTGTGCATCGCACGAATGTAAACAAAAAACCAATATCCCTGTAGCTACGCCTTCAAGGCACACATGCGTAACAGCGGCGGTTAATCAGTTCATTCGATTAACCTAGTTAGTAGCACTGGTTGTTTAAAGCTCATTTACTAAAAAAAAATCTTTCAAAATTTGAAAAATACTGCCATCTCATTGGACAAAAAATAATTTTAAACACTAAATACGTTTATTGTTAATGATTACGTCAACAACTTCAGAGGAGTTCATCTATATATGATTTTTACCTTAAATATGTTAAATTTCTTAGATACAAGTTTTGCAACTGTCCATTATTAACTTTGAGGATATCAAGATGGACACTAAAATGAGTCAGCTAACAGTGAAGAGCAAAGGCAAGTGCGCGGATGTACAGGCTTGCCTGGCTCTATACTGGTGACAAAAACTAATCATTTTTGATCAAGCAGGTTAAAGGTTATCAATTTTTTTGATGATACAATTAGGTACTTTAGTGAAGTGTACGTCTTAATTACTAATTACATTAACAAGCTTTATTTGTATTTTATCATTTCAAAAATTAAGGCTGCTCATATGATTTTAGTAATGCTTGTGATATTGCTGTATGTTTGTCGCGTTCAAATGTTTCTGCCCAACTGCTATCATATTTTCGGAAACGAACATAAATTGTCTCTATCAACTGATTATAAATCGATTCCCCACGAACAACTGATGTAAGTTAAATAAGTATGCATAACATAGCGATTTAAGAATGCTACTGTTTATTTTGTTCCACAGGCTAATAAAGATAATATTTGAATTAGATTAAGATAAGCAGGTGTTGTCATTAAATCAAATATTGCTTTTTGCATCTAGTATCATGCATGCAAGATATTTAGTTCAGCAAGAAATGCTTTACACTCACAAAGTTCTTTTTTGTATTAACTTTAGAAATAATATGTATCATATTTTCAGTTTAGTTATTATGACAACTTATACCGATAAAGTATCATGGTCGCACTAAATGGAGGCCCTTTAATGTTTCCGTACTTACAGAACGAGACACAAATGTTTGCATTTTTACAAATGATTACATTGAGCAACAGTAATTCATGGTTTAATTATCGCGACTTGCATTGTCATCCATTTCCAATTTGCTTTTAAATAAATTTCCTAAATTTATCTTTATAATGCTACAATAAGATTTCTAATACAGTTGTTGCATTTGTACATGTTGTATTTAGTTGATACATTAACACGCCTCCATTTCCCTCAAGAAAGTTATCCTTTTCAAGAGTTTTATGTTGAAATTACCTCCGTGCTTTATTTAATTTAACAGTGTTGCTGTTTGTTTTTTGGCCTGTCGGTATAATTGATTCCAATATTTGTATTGTTGCTTATTGAATATTGTATACCCCGGTGCTGGGGGCATGGGAGATGATTGCCTCTAATTCAAACGAGTTTATGGTTTCCCTAGAGATTTCCTCTTTTAATATGAATTTCATTAATTCAAATAAAACTTCAAAAATCAAGCCATATTGAATAATATTGATTGATTGATTAGTGTTAAATTAGAAAAACCATACATTTGTTATTTATTCGTTAGAATATCTTATCTTATTTTGCTCTCAAGTATAAATACTTTTTTATTGGCGACGCCGGTGAGCGGCGTCGTCTCTTATGGAATGCTTTTTATTTTGGCCTATGGAAGGAGCTGTTATTATTAGCAGTCAATGTCATTGTGTTATATAGTTTATTGATCTAATAACAATTATAAACATATATGTATTATTTGTATTTAAGAACTTAATAAAACATGTCTGATTCGAATTATTTCACCGAAATTGGTTCATTTAAAGTTGCCCTATTTTATTGCACAATACTAAACCTATTATACAGTAGTAAAGAGTACAATCAATGTTTGAGTTATATATAAATATCATTATGCATTGTTAGCAATGTACAGAGGATTGTTAAAGGAATGATTTATGAACTTGCATATCAATCAAATTGTTTGACTTTAAAACAGCTCTAACGTGTACGTTATGATATAGCTTTCATGTCAATCAAATTTATGGAAGTTCGGCATGCACTTTTTTGCTTGAAGCTTTACAAAGATAAGAACTAAGATATCAGTTTTACTATTTTAAAGTCTTAGACAAGATAAGCTTCATGCCACTTTTAAAAATAAATGAAGATACTGACATAATTAATGTTTATGACACCAACGTAGTTGCAAAAGAAAACAATATCTCAAATCATACTATCATAAAACTATATTTGTTCAGTTAAAATTTAATAACATGTAGTCGAATAAGTAGTACGAGTACAATCAATGTTTGATTAGTATAAAATCATCATTATGCAATTGTGGCGCAAAAATCATAGTAAAGGATTGTTGGAAGTGATTTATAGAACATGCATATACAATCAACACTATGCTTTGACTTTAAACCACATGCTCCTAACCGCTGTACGTGGGATATTGATATATTTCATGTCAATCAAGCTATTTTATGGAACGTCGGCTGCACTTATGTGCCTAGTGGTTGCCTGCGACATTACACCCCACTCTTCCTTTACCAATTAAGGCGGAAAGTCATAATATTGCACTTTAATACTCAATTGATATCAAATAAATTCATTTTTGGTATAGAGTAGACTCAATACTTTTAATTTATTAAAAAGGTAAAAGGTTGGAATTTAGTGTAATCATTAGTGTTTAATAATAACACGAGTCAATATTTTGAATACACATTGCACATATTTGATCACCTGCTTTAATTGTTTACAAATTCTCCGAATTGATTTCAATATAAACCCTGTACTCGTATTTTTCCAAGTTAAATATCATTATTTTAGATATTATCTTTTCCTTTAAGACTATATGTTCAATCATTGAAATTATTAACGAAAGACAGGAAAAACAACATTATACATTGCCTACTCGGACATTCGAAACATTTGTGTCTAATATCATATCAAAATTTATGTAAAAGTCATTTTATATGCTGGCAGAACTATGATATTATTTTATAACTACACTGTCAGCAATCAGTTACAGTCGGTATGTTCCGTCGGGTTTACACAATTTCTTGATTGTTTTTCAAAGTTAACCTGCAAATAACGGTGTAAATTGCATCGAAAAGTGTTACCTCATATCTAAAACACGTCCTTCCCCATTTCTTTTTCATTTTTTACTTGTTTGAAGAGTTTTTATATACCTTCTTTAATGTAATATTATGCACTAGAAATGTCACTATTTTAAGTTCTTAACAACTCTTTATTTTTGTTAACTTTAAAAGGTTCCAAAAAGTTATTATTGGTCAGTTACATGAACCATCTTTCCCCCTTTTTCCTTTTCAAATATACATGTCTAGCGATAGTCTAAACAGTTCTTTGTGCTTCCATACTGTATAAGAAACGTACGTTTCTTGCACATATCAAACTAGTTAAGCACAATGCATAATATATTCATATTCGTGTCTGTTTCTTTTATTGTAAGTTTTACTTATATTCAAGATATCAGAGATGTAATGTTCATTTCCTTTCACTTTAATTATGATTCAAATTAATAAAAACATAATATATAAATAAATAAACATCATACAGATATAAAAAAGTTCTATTTTACCACATTTTTCTATTAAAACATAATGCTTTTAAAACAAATATACAAAACATCGATATAACAAAAAAATGATTATTTGAATATGATGCATTTTACCTGCATTAATTATGTGGTGTATTTTTTAAAGAAGATAATTAGAAGATAATTAGCATACTGTTTCATATTTTTCAGATCTTTTTAAGACACCATCAGCTTCTGTGACCAAAAAGATGCCTCCCACACAGCTTCCAGTTCCAAAAACTACCCATACTTTCCTTGAGATAATTGAAAGTTCTGA